TCAGATTTATTTTGGAAATCCATTTCTGTAACTGATAAAGAGTAATTTCCCTCATGTATAGCATATTGTCAAATTTTAAGTTGCAAATTGTAATGAATTTTTTCTTGGAAAAAGCAAATGCTAACATATCCTAGGTAGTTTTACTGGTATACGTGTTAACATTTATGTTAGTTAAAGGAATAATCCTTTTATTCTGACTTCTTGAAGATGAAATTATTGCATCTGATCTGTTTGAAAACTACCATATGGTATTTTCTTGCAGTTGAGAGTTTAATTTTGAGGTTTATTTTTAAATATGACAAAAATTCTCACAACTACTACCCTTCAGAAATCTACTTGACTATTAATGTCAGTGTGATATTAATTCTCTAGAATGGCCTCACGTTGTTTCTCACTCTGAATGATAAACTTGTACAGTAGGGCCTCACTTAAAGTCATGGATAGGTTCTTGGAAAACTGCTACTTTAAGCAAAATGACTAGCAAAAACAAACTTTATCAAAAGAAGCTGATTTGTTCACAAAAACATCACCAAACTTCTAAATACATAAAACACTTGTAATATTAAACAATAATTTGTATTTCTAACCTGCTTATTCCAGTTCAGGGTCATAGTTGCCACAGCCTAACCAGACCTTTCAGGGAACAAGACTGTTTAGACATGGTGCAGCAGACCTCTCCAGTCTCTGCTCTGCTGCCCACTCTTGTCTCTGGTGAATCCTCTTACCACACCACTCCCACACCTCTGGCCTGCAACTCAGCTCTTGTATGTATAGACAAATAAAGTAAATCTTTAAATAGATACACAAAAAAATAAATATATACACACACACACACATGCATATCTTTAAATATATATGTGTCTTTAAATAATATATATGTTTAAAGATATGTGTGTGTGCGTGTGTATATACATATATATGTATATGTATATGTATATCTGACATGTAGTTTCTCAGATAACCAGAAAGTCAGTAAATCATTTTAAGGGAATGTCTACCTACCTTATTTTAATATACAGCATGTATATTACAAGTCCCTTCCATGCACCTGACAACACTACAGAGTATCTTCTTATTCTTATAACTAACTGCATCTTGGAATACTTTGTTCTTGTTTTCATATTTAATCAACAGTACAGCGAATCATGTGATCCAGCCATGTCTTTCAGAAAGATTGTGGTTTGTGCTTTTTATTTTAACAGAGAGGGTGAAGTGGGTACAGATGTGTCATTTAGTGTCATCCATTCCATCTTTTGTCTGTGTCATCAGAAACATTTGGAAGCAGAAATTTCCTTCTACAGTAAACTCCCTAATAGGCAATGAATAGCCAATTAGAAGTAGAGAACAAATAAAAATAACAGTATATTACCCAGGAAATTTCCATTTGTGTTCTCTACTAATTGTAATTTTAAAGACCTTTGAAAATATCTAGGTTATCCCCAACATGCCAACACCCAAATTTATGGATCTTACTAATTAAAATTAAGTGGGGCGATTACCTTTAGATAGTATATGGTAGGGATACTTAATATTCTGAAAAGCACTTGAATTGAAATAAGGCAATAAAGAAATTTAGCAACAAACTACCAAAAGTTAAATATAATTAATAATCTCAGGTTTGACTACTTCTACAGCCATATAATCTACAAGTTACACTTAGGACCCCAAAGTTGGGGAAGAAGGGACATTGTTATATTAGTCAAATTGTGTCAAAGTTGTCATTTTGCTACTCTTAATGTGATGCTATCTACACCTCAGTGCTCTTTGATTTAGTCTGTATTAATTAGTTTCATAATGTGTGCACAGATCCACTTTACCTTAAAAGCAGTTTTGAAATTTCCCTTGCAAACAAAATATACACATACATATTTCATATAGCCTCTAATAACATTCATAAATTATAACATTTTTTCACCTTCCTGAATGTTCTATTATATTTCCATGTATTTGTTTATATGTATTGAGACTATAAACTCTACAACTTTCCTCTTTCAGTGATGTATGCCTCTATAGTAACTTTTGGTAATTTTATTTATTATGAGCATTTATTAGCAAAAACAGGATAATCATTTCCAAACTTAGAATTTTTTTTCCCGTTATGATAGAAGCTCTCTTATCTATCTTACATGTAGTTTCTCAGATAACAAAAAAAATCAGTAAATTATGTTAAGGGAGTGTCTACCCACCTTATTTTAATATACAGCATGTATATGAAAATTTATCATTTGATAATTGGCCAAATTTTTTTTTTTATTTTGAGTCCATTAGTTGGTGTGGAACCTCCTTTTTATATGTACTATATCTATATACAGTGTCTACAATGAAAACTCATTTGCTAAGCAGTCTTAAACATATCTAGAATTTTACAGGTTAATGGCTTAGTATTATGTAACTGTCACATGCCTAATTTAAGTGTTATTTTTTGTGTTTAGAAACTTACCTTGTTATTGCCATCAGCTTAGTTTCATTGAAACAGCTCTTTCACATTCATATTCATTCATTGAAACAGCTCTTTCACATTCATATTCATAATAATATGTAATATTAATTATGCAATTGCACTAATATGCATGGTTTTACATCACTTACAAATAGTGATTTGCTAAGCATCAATATTTTACCCTGTCAACTACACATATACATGTGAGCCTGCCTGTCAGAAAAAAACCCTTATTCTTATCTGAATGAAAAATGTCAGACCAAGAAAATAATATGCCATAATGCCTTATAATTCCATCTTTATAGTGTTCAAACAGACAAAAAAAAGTACTAGTTAGGATAATGGTTAAAAGGCAGGATAATTTCTTTTTGTCCAAAGACAAGAAAATAGAATTGGAAAGAAGCATAAGACAAGTTTTGGAGCTCTGGAAATATTATTTCTTAATTTAAGTGCTGTTCCATCTGAGTGTTTTCTCTTTAGTCTGTATGCTAATGATAACTGTATTTTATAATGTGTGGGACAAAAAATAAACTATCAAAAAGTAAAGGGGACTTTAGCTGACAGAACTGAAATTAACAAGATGAACCAAGATAAAATACAGATAAATAAGTTGAACACCACAAAAGATTTTGAGAACTTCATATGGAATCTAGCATAAAGGGGAAAAAAGGCTTAACAACTTAAAGTGTACCATCTGTAGCTAATTTAGTTATGAGAATTCATTTTAGCCAATTTGTATTTTGCATACTTAGTACTTGGATTATGTAACCACTGAGAACTATTTAATAAGCATATAATTATAAACCATGAATCATTTTATCCTATTCCTGTAAAGTAATCTGGATCACCCTCTCATGTTTAAGCCATTTTTTTAATTTTCAGGTTCAGTTCAAAATAAAATACTGTTTAAAATTTGACTAAAGTTTGATTCAATAGACAGAAATACACTTCATTAATTCATCCATTTTTATATAATAGCCATATTTTCTACCTCTTAAGTTTCCTCCATTTAAAATATGAAAATATTCTGATAAATATTTATTCAATTCAATTGACAGCTAACAAAAATCAAATCTATATTAGAATAAGGTCAAAAGATTAGCGCCTTTTAACTTTTTTCTCATGGAACTTCTATATTTCATGACAGATTCAATAGTGTTAATAAATATATGCTAGCCCAGCACTTTATTATGTAAAGGCAATAGAGAAAAGTGAAATACTCTGTTGCCATAATTAATAATCTTATTTATTGTGGGAAATGAAACAACTTCATAAGCCATTCACACATTCATAAATGTGATTCCCCCTTTCAGTTAAATTGTAATTATCTCCCTTATATTGAAGAGAATGTTGATTTGGCATAGAACAAGTATGCTTCCTCAAATAGATAATCATTTTGAAAAACATTTGTTAGTGTATGTGCAACTATGATACTTTAAAATTGTAGCACCTGTAATCTCTGCAGGGGAAACAATATTTGAAATAATATGATTTGATACAGAATTGTTGCGTGTGGTCTTCTTTTCACATTATTTGAAATAAATTTTTGCCTGAACTTCAAAAATATATTCCTTAAGTTTGTTGAAATTATTATATGGTCCCTAATGAGATACTATAAATCCTTAAACAAAAAGTCCAAAGCATTCTAATGCATAAATTCAGTTCATAAGTACTAGAACTTCCTGAGCATTTTTGCCAACCACTCACCAGCCATGCCAACACTGCTACATTGTCTGTGTGAAATATAATAGTGGCTGAGTGTAAAAATTGAGCTGGAAAATGAACAGTCTGGATGAGAAATAGTATTTTTCACAGCAGATTACCATTACTGAGATCCCTGAGTCTTAATCTCCACCCTAAGGATGGGAAAGAAATTGAGGTGGCAAACCAAGTGAATGAGTAACTTGGTCCCTCTTACTTTGGATTTGTAAGTATTGAGGAGAGAAAGCATGGTTGAGCCATGTCCCTGTTCCATCAACACACCTTAATTTGGTAGCTATCGATCCTGGCAATCTGGAGAAAAAGAATTGGAGGAGTCTGCCAGAACAGAAAAGGGAGAAGGTAGGAAGTAGCCATGGGAGGGAAACCCCAGGCAGAACAAGTGTGGAAAATAATTTTCTCCCAAAATTCACATCACCTCATTCTAGATTCATTATGTTGTTTGAAAATGGAAGCACTGATGTTTGAGTATGTGTGTACATGTTTGTTTAAATAACTCTGGTAGAAGTTTTAATTGAAATGATTACTGAAGTAGGCATGCATCCTGATTAGTGATCTAGATTCTTCCTACAAAGTAGAGTATTTAAATTGATTACTGTGTTATATTGTTGCCATGTTAAATTAATTAGAGAGAAAATGTAACTTTCTAACAGTATGGTAAAGTTTAAATTCTTCCTATTGTACATTTTCTAAAATAATTGTATTATTTTCTTTAAAAGATAGACTTAAGGAAAAATTTCTACTATATAGCCTTTGGTTAATAGCTGTGAATAAATTCATGGAAATCTCATTTTTAGTAGTGTTATATTAAAAATATTGAATATTGTGCTCCTTGTATTAGGATTTGGAACCTGGAAGGAATGCAGACAGCTCATTTTGTTCTTCATTCCCCTGGAATGAGTGTGTGCTGGCATCCTGAGGAAACGTTCAAGGTGGTTATTTGTAATTTAGCTTTCTTTTATCAAACTGAAAAGACATGTGTTTGTAATACCTACACTCATAGAGTAGAAAATCAATGGCTTTTTGCACCTCAGAGACTCTTAATTCACACAGATGAATTTGGATTAGCCTTATAATTTGTGCCTTAAATGTTTTCTATAATTAAAGTTATTATTTGATAACCATCATCCACAAATGACATTTATTTAGAGTATACATTTCCTCATTGTTATTTCTAGAAATGATGTTCAGTCCATTCTTATAAAGCATGGCATGTACCAGTGTAGCAGTGGCATAAAGCAAATTTATCCCAGCTGCAGTAGTTTTCAAATCCTATTCTGAGTAGAGCTTACTAAAATTCTAAAAGTACACTATGTGTTATCAATTCACCTTCGTTCTTATTCTATTGAGAAGATGCCTTTGGCCAGTTTCAACTTTTGACTATCATCTTCACTCAGCTGATCACTCGTAGCTTCTAGATTTAAAGTGAGAGACGAGTGGCCTTTTTTTCACTTGACTGTGCCATACTGTTCAGAAAATGATACCAACAGACCCTATCAGGGTAACCACAAACTTTTAGTTTTAAAAAGTGTAATTAGATCAGGCTGCCTGCACCTGTTAACTTAAGCTCATCTTCTCCTATCCTTTGATCTAAATCATCAGTGTCATTCAGTTTCCACTACTCTGAGTAGTCATCAGTGTTGTTTTTAATAACCGAAGAGGCTCTTCCAGTGTTGATCTCAAGGAAGCTTGACATGCTGTTGATCATTGTGTCTTGGAGCCCTGTTCACTTCAAACCCTAACCTTTAAGGCTGCATTATCCTGGTCCTCTTGAGCATATAGCCTGCATGTTTCTTTCTCCTCTCCAGCTTTTTTTTTTTCTTACCATGTACGTGTGAATTACTAAAGCATAGTTCTTACTTACCTGTATACTTTATTGTAGTACAGGGTAAAAGAATGAATAAAGTCCATGTCTGTTAGTTACACACTTTAAAAGAAAGAAAAACAGCACAGATTTTAAATGTTGGAATTTTTTTTTTTTTTTTAAGTAGAATGATGATGTAAGTAAGGATTATATAGCTTTTATAGAGGAGGTAATCTTGAGTTGAGATGCCTTTGTAAGAGTAATCCCTGAGGGATTCCATGGAAACTTGTCTCAGACCTGTTGGGTCTTTACTTTATGCCTAGATAATCTCCCTCATTGCAGTGAATCCAAGCATAATTAGGTATTCTATAAAAATGTTAATATTGCCATGTATAAATACATTAGGTTATTTTTTTTAAAACTGTGACCCAAATAAGAAATGAGAATTTATTACAACCTCTATCCCAGATAATTTATATTTACTTCAGATCCTTTTCTTCCATGTGCTTAATTTCTTTTTTTCACTATGTATCATTAAAATTTCACTCCTATCTCCCTTTTTATAGTTGCTTGTCTCCATTACTGCAGTGTTTGCAAGTCCTGCTCTAAATCACATATAGACAGAATTTTCCAGATCTTCTAATTTTTCCTTCATTTTCACTCAAGTACATTTTTTGTCATTAAGACTCTTTCTTCACTTTTCTCTTCATAGAAGTAACTTCCCAAGTCATCGCACCTTTCTGAAGGCTGGCATGTCTCTGAAATGTTTGTTCTTTCTTGTCTGCTTTAGTTAGAATAATCTTAAAATGGCAGTTTCATCATGTCTCTACTGAACTAAAAAACCTAAAATAAAAACAGTGGCACAGATGTGTTTGTTACCTGCCTGACATTAAATCCCAGTTCCACCACTCACTGGCTGTGTGATCTCTGACAAATTTCTTAAGCTCTCTCAATCATTGCCTTCAGGTCTCCCTCTTACAAAGTGGACATTATGAAGATTAAATCAAAAGATGTTGGTAATATCCTTTAAAAAGAACCTGACACATAATAAGCAAGTGCTCAGTCAATTTTAGCTACTTGTCATTTTTTATTCTATTTTACTACTGTAACAAGCTAGTGATTCTTATTGGTCAGCCATTTCAGATCAAACTCAGAATTTTTGTTTTAGCCTTTATAAAAATGAGATCACCGAAAAAAGAGTGGTGGGCCCATGATTACTATGTTATAGAATTCTGATGAAAATAATAAGAGATATAAACTAGGTTAAAGTATCATAATCTAGAAAGCACAAAGCAAATACTAGTCTTTGACAGTTAGTAAATGCAAAAATTAGAAGACATCCTGAAACTAAGCTCATAAATCAAATAAACCACAGTTGGAGCTGGGATCTCAAGTAGCAATAACAGAAGCAAGAGCTTAGGGTATCACTAACCCAGAGATTGGAACTGAGGAAATCTCAGTGCCAGCCCTAAGAGAAAAGAGTTTAAAAGGCCACTGAATGAAATGAGGTGTAACAACAGCATTTGTTAAATGATTTCTCAGTGCCCACAATGTGCTAAGTGTTTGACTTGTATTTTCTCATTCTCATAAAACACACTGAGCTTGATAACATTCTATTCATTTTGTAAATGAGAACGCTGAAATACAAAAACATTAAGTAATTATTTGCCCAAGGTCATGCAGACACAGATTTGAACTCAATCTGATTCAAGTACTCAATGTTCTCTGCTACTTAAGATATTTCCCCAATGGAATTCAGTGCATATTACTGATTATGGTTGAGAGACATCCTAAAGGAAAAAATCTCTCATAATGTTTTTAGATCCAGCAGTTCCAAATTTAGTTAGCTTTTTTTAGCTTCTACCTGCTCTTTGTGAAACAATAAAAATCTGTTATCACAATTGAGCATAGTTTTAGAAACCATAAATACCAACAAGAAAAAATTTTTGCTAGAATTGAGTTTCAATGTGACTTCAGCCTAACCAATTATACTAAAGGAATTTAAATGCTGTGTTTGTATTAACTCATATGATCCTCCCAACAGTCCTATGAGATGGGATTAGTCCCAATTTTACTGATGAGCTCCCACTCACCGAGTAATCAGTTGTGCAAGATCATATAGTAATAGCTCCTGAAGGCAGAGCCAGGACCTAGCTATGCCGTCTCAGTATAGATGCTGTACTCTTAACCCACTGGGTTATTCAGAACTGGGTTCCAGATAGACTTGGCCCTTCCATAGTCCATAAATTACAGTTAAGATCCCCAGGAATCTAGAGTCAGGTTCAAATCTCAAATATTTTTACTAGGTCCTAGTAAGTCTTCCTTTGCCTTCCCCCTTTTCGAAGCCTTTCCCACCCCAGCTACATGAAGTGCATTATCAGAACAGTCATTTATTTGTTCATACAGAACTGAGATACAGGCCAGAGGCTCAGGGGCGGAAAGAGGCCTCACCAGAGACAGTGGGGAGCAGATCAGGCAGATCTACGAAGTACACTGCTGAGGGGAACAGTGGGCGGGCCAGGAGAGGTCTGCCACGCCATGTGGTCACCTCCAGGGCAGGTGGGAATTGAACTCATGCGGAAGTGGCCTTAGCCTCTCAGTGCTGTGCTCTAACCCGCTGCGCCACCAGGGAGGGCCCATGTAGCTGTTCTTATCCTCACAATATCCACTTTTGAAAACCATTTTCCAGTCAAGCCTCATAAACTTTTAGCCTGTGGGAACTTGGACTTACCACTGTGGAGGTAGCAATCTTGTTCCCAAACCTGACTATACTCTCAGTACCTTGCTGCCTTCAATTCTGCAAACAATTACATTGTGTAAGGATCTGTAGCATGTCACTTTTTTATTTTTGAAAAAATAAACACTTAATCCTTTCTAGACAACGCTGTCTCTTTGCAGAAAAAAATCTAGGTTCTTTTTTTCCCTAGTTTGCTGTAAGATTTTTATATTTTATAGAATTTTACATAGGCTATGCTTCAATTTTCTTTACATTAGATCTCCCATTTGTGGTATCTGCAAATGTTTTCATTTTATCCTACAACCTGAGTCATTGCCTACTTCTCAGATTTGACTGATGAATTCAGTGGTTAAATTTTTCTTTTCTCTGATTTACAGCTTATGGTTGCAGAAAAGAATGGAACAATCCGGTTTTATGATCTTTTGGCCCAACAGGCTATTTTATCTCTTGAATCAGAACAGATGCCATTAATGTCAGCACACTGGTGCTTAAAAAACACCTTCAAGGTTGGAGCTGTCGCAGGGAATGATTGGTTAATTTGGGATATTACTCGATCCAGGTACTTCGTTACTGTATTTGTCTATTACTTTCCAAAATATCACCCACTGTTCCTAAATGACCCATTGAACCATCCTGGAATTATACCTGGGCTTTACTAGAGCAAAAACAAACCTTTCCTGTAGAAAGACAAGGGTAGTTTTTATATATAATAACATAGATGGGTACCCTTACATTGACGATTCAGAGTGTAACCCAGAAAGAATACTGCAAAGGAGGATTTGATCTGAGAAATGCCTTTTTATATTAAAAGAAGAAAAATACTGACCCTGCTGAATGATGGCATTCTGTAGTGGTTGTAAGTCATATTTATGTCATTACTGTGTTCCATCTATTTTGTTAAGGTTTAAGTACAGAGATGTTTTGTCGTTTAAGGAGAAAATTCCCTTTTAAACTTTAAGTCCTTTTACTGAGTTTAACAATCAATAAAATGCAAAATATTATTTTTTAGTTACCCTCAAGATAAGAGGCCAGTCCACACAGACCGAGCCTACTTATTCAGGTAATACACCATTTTTGTTGCAGTCACAATTTGATGTTTTGGGTTTGATTTCTTAGCTCATGATGTGCCAACAACTAAAATACTTTTCCTATCCTTTCCTTTGCACTAGGTTTAGTTTACTGATTGTTGGGCTGTCTTAAATAAGTATTTGCCTTTGTCTTTTGGTCTCAGCAAGGCAGTGATTTGCTTTCCATTATTTTCTTTTAGTTAACATGAAACACAAAACATGTTACTGCTGCACCAATCCCATTCCAATAATTTGGAACATACACTTGTTTATGTTTCCTGCTGATGAAGATGTTACTGTTGGTAGGCATGTGTTTATGCATATAATTGACACTGTTTTAATGTGTTTACTTAATGCTTTAAACGAGAACATAATACATGATATATAGATCTGCAATTTTTTTCCACTTCAGTTAACATAATTGTCTTTATTGTTGTTCATTCCGTTTTTTGCAATTGTAGAATACAGTCGTTAGATGGCTTTCAGCTTCAAGTAACAAGAAAACTTACAAAAAAGACTTAAGCCAGTAGAACATTTATTATATGTCGTATTTCATTAAATTTAAAATGGTTTCAGTAAAAATATAGTAGAACATGGGGACATCATTATCTATGTACTATTAAGAAAAAAGTATACTCAACTAAATGTATGAGCTCCATAGATTACATCCTGATTTCAGAAATAAGAGCAATATACATTTAAATTCTGGCAACCATGGTACTTTAAAGGAACCTGTAGAAAGGCTATCAGGGTTGCTCAAGTACTCATCCATGTTGTCAAGAATTTAGGCCTTGCCTTCTGCCGTCCTCAGTGGCATGACTTGGGATTTGCTTCTTCATAGTCACAAGGTGACCGCCAGAGTTCCAGGCATGATAGCCTCATAGCATATTGTCCAAAGTAAAAAAGAGTTAGAAGTTGCTCTCATTGTCTTAAACCAATTGGGTCTTTTCCCTGCAGTCAGACACATTGAACCAGAATACAATAGGAAAGGGCAGAATGGTTGTTGGACAAGCACTTGTATCTGCTACACATAAAAAAAATTAACTAGAATTTAGTCATTATATTTGCCAAAGAATTTTTTCTTTTATCTCCCCACTGCACATCTTAAATTCTAATCATGTCCCTGTAGCTTCATTAGCAATTGTATTCATCAGTAAGTACATTGGATTCCAATGTCAAGGATGCCTTGAAGCTTAAACATTTAAATATCTAAATATTCTAGTGTTTGTATCATACTGAAGAACTTAAACATATGAATTTATCACTAACTTGAAGTATTTTATGTCTTTCTGATACCAGATCTGTGTCTCCTACTGCATTGTACTACCACTTTCTTTATAAAAATGCACTGTGCTGACTAACCTGGTATGACTTTGAACCTTAATAGTGGACATGAGAAGCACTTAAGAAATATAGAGTGAGAAATTATTTGCAGCCAACTTTCCTGGGATTCCCAGGACCATATTAACAAATTTGGAGTTATAAAATTATTGCTTTTGTGCAAGAAGGAATAATCTGTTTAAAAAAACTGACAGTTACTTATAAGATGATATATTTATCGTCTTTTCTTAGGTGGTCCTCAATTAATGAAAACTTGTTTGCGACTACTGGATATCCTGGCAAAATGGCAAGCCAGTTTCAGATTCATCATTTAGGACATCCTCAGGTAATATGGAGTTGTTTATGCTATATATTTTTTTTAATATGTGTTTTCTACTTTTCTAGTCAGAGCCCCCAAATTTGTAATGTCTTTTACCTGCGTGAGTTGTGAAGAAAAGGCATTTCTTCATGTGTAAAATCATCAGTGGTGTAACACTTTTTGCCTGGGCTCATATAAGAAGTATTACATTTCTTTTTTATATATATCCTCCACCATTTAAATATATATATTACTTTTGTTTGTTTGGTTGGTTGATTCACACTGCAGAAAATTTGTGTCTGGATGTCCCAGTTTAATTTATAGACTATTGTATCCATCATTCCAGCCAGTTGCAAGCAATCATGTGCATTTCACCTGTGAGGGAACTTATTTATGACAAAGCTATGTAACCAAAGATAATTTGTCAAGGCAGTTCTTATTTTTGAAATATTTTTTATTCTTTAACTGAAAATTCATTGAGCTTCTTTAACTCTTCACATACTTTATAGCCCATCCTCACTGGTTCCGTAGCTGTTGGATCTGGCCTCTCCTGGCATAGGACTCTACCACTGTGTGTAATTGGAGGTGATCACAAGCTCTTGTTTTGGGTGACTGAAATGTAAAGTAAACTCACTGTTACCTTGGATCCATAAACATATTTTTAGGACATATTTTGGACAATTTCTTATTTTTACTTATTTTTATATCAAATATACTGTAAGTTCTAGAAATGTCTGGATTGTTTTGTTAAATAAAATATTGATATCTTGAAATATTAGCTTCTGACTCTTTTCTGTATGTGTGTGTGTGTGTGTATATATATATAGAGAGAGAGAGAGAGAGAGAGAGAGTTTTGAGGGGGTGTTGTGTATTAGTCATTTTGAGGTCACAGTTCAGCTCCAGAGGGGAGATGATTAGGGAAATATTTCATCACCGACTATTCAAAGTGCATCCTACCTTCTGTTCTTTAAAAATGTACTTTTTCCTAATTCTCAACATTTATAAAAGGTGAAAAAGCTCTCCCTCAGTTAATCTGGAAGTGGTTGAATGTATATACATTTTTTTAACAATATGTATGTATGGGGCATCCTGACTTCTTCCAGAATTATAAAGGATTATCCTTCAATTCAATATAAAAAATGATTTGCAGTTTCTTAAAAATGTGACTGATTATACTACTCAACCACATTTACTATATGCATGTTCCTTTTGATTGAGCATCTCAGTACTCATAGAACTCTTAGAATCTGTATAGTATAAAGGTTATCTTAAAAATATTTTTGAGATGTTCCAAAGAAAAGGAAAAATACTGGTTGGTTTCTCTCATAGCAGGAATATAACGGAACAGGCGAGAAAATAATGATGATGAACAGCTATATACCAGAGACATTTTGTGGGGGTGGAGTGGGGAATGAGATCAGAAACAGTGGAGGGAGGGAAATGCCCTGGATTAAGGTGATGGGAAGCCCAAGAGGATTGCAACTGAGATGGAAAAATGCACAAAATGATGTAAAGATAAACTATTATATTTTAAAAAATTAACCAAAAAAAATTTTTTCTGAGTTGCTACCTAGTAGCAATAGTTTTCATCCTCTCAAATACTAAAATCATCATTGTGTGAAGCATCCATATCATATCATGACATAGAATGATGTAATTAGAAGAGTATAAGATTATGGTTCTGCATATCAGTAAGAGATGAAGTTAAATAAATCTCTACAAAGTCTCTGTTCCCATAAGTTAATACTATATCTGAAGCTGAATTTCCTCGGGGAAGATTTTAATAGAAATCATTCTCACGGAGTTACTGTAAGAATTAAATTAAGGCGAATGAAAATACCTAGTTTTTAAGTCTGCCACACAAGTCAAGGATTTGTAGGTATTTATTTAGAGATGTCTGTCTCATTTTGGAGAACTTAGAGCTTAATAATGCCAATAGATATTTTTTATTCAAGTATTCTATTCGTAAGAGGCCTTATAAGAATCTTGTAGAGTCAAGAAAACTATCTTTAAAAGGAAATGTTGGTAGTTAAAGAATTCAGTAAAATTTTATGATTAGGTAGATGTTTGCTATAAATTGGTATATTTTCATCTGGTATAAATACAGATGAAAAATTACATTAACAATTATTTTCTGGTTACATACTTAATATAGTGAAATAAAATTACCGTATAATATAATTTCCTTTATCTTTCTTATGTAGATTTTGAACTTAACAAAAAAAGGGCAAAAGGCAAGTTTGATGTGGTTACCTTCAACAACAGTCTTTGTGATGAGAGACTGTTTTATTTCTCAATGTGTGACCAGGTCAAAGAATTTCTTTTCAGGATGTATCCAAAGAAGTGAGGTCATCATCCTTTGGGTCACTATATTTGACAATTGTTTAATACTCAAAAAAGTTGACTAGGAATTCAGTGGGTTATGGTTAGGGAATGAAGATTAGAAGATATGTTGGGCTGTGATGTTGGGCTATCTAGGAAGTAGTGTCTCTGAAATATGGGTTTCCTAAAATATAAAAGTTTTCTGATGAAATTAACCAATAGCACTGCTCTCTGTCAAGGAGAAGCCAATTCATGATGACTGTATATTTTTAATTATGCCAGAGGGACAAGTGTATCCTCAACAAAAGAAAAGGGTGATTCTACTTATAAATTAATATGGTAGTTACAAGATAAGAAAATCACAAGCAATGAGTGGGAGTTCTTTACCTCTTACTTTCAGTAGTGTACATGTTATTTTGAATAAGTATTGAGAACTCTAACCTTTTCTGTCTTTAGATCTAACAGACTATGGGACTATTTCCACCTTCTACTCTATTAGGAAATTTAGTGTGTTCAGTTACTTTCTTGTAATTATTTATCCTTACGTTTAAATTAGACTGAGACAAGAGGGGATGTTTAAACTATAATTCATTGTTGGTCCTCACTTTTAATTCTTGATAAATAACATGAGATCTGGTTGTGTGGTGTGTGTGTGTACCAGCTAAGTTTTAGGTTTTTTGTGTTTGTTTATAACTATGTCTAAGAGGGTTTTTCTTCTGTTGAAATTAAGTTTTCTTCAGGATTGCTTCACTTACAAACATTGTGGGAAAACCAAAAAAAAAAGTTGTATTTATGTTCTAAAACTTGTATTTTTTAAGACTGTTGAAGGAAAAGTCAGGGTATCACAAATCTGCAAGATGTCAGAACTAAATCCTACTTTTTCAAAATGATGGAATCATAAGTCTGATTTTATTTTTATGATCTGGCTTGTACATTGTGAATATTTAGTGCCTTTCCATGCCAAAACACAAAATCGCACACCCATGTACGCCAATTTGTTTCTTACTTTGGTAATTTGTTTCTACATATTGACACTGACCTAGAAATGTTCCTGTTACTGTTTTAAATCTCATGTCAGTGGAGAAAAAATTGAAATCTGGTTTACACATTTGTGTCTGGCTTTTTGTAATTGTCCAAAATCTGACATTATCCCAGAAATGCTGATTGGGAAGTTATGAGACAGTGTTGTGCCCAACTTAACTTCTGAGGAGAAAAAAAAAGTTGTTGCTCCAGATTAGACTCTCTGTTTTTCTGCAGCTCAAATTAAACTCAGTTTAACCCAGGTTTCTACCATCCTTAGTTCTGAGTGCAAATAAAATCTGCAAAGTAAAAAAAAAAAAAATGACCATTTGGTAGTCCTTTTCTACATATTCCTCATGAGACCTGGTCAAGTCTTCAAAAGTAGCGGTCTGTTCCCTTATGTCTTCATCAAGCTGTTGGTATGTTCAGTAAAAGGAACAGGAGAGAACACTGTTTCTTTAACACCTTGCTGTTTCAAAAACATTTATTTTAGCAGGAATTGGAAAAGAATTTCAAAACAGCTAACATTTGTTTCTAATTATACATTTAAAGAAATATGCCCTTCAAACATAGGTAGAATTTCTTGTATTACTAACATGACTTTAATTTATAGAAGCTGTTTATTAACTAAACACAACAGAGTAATTAGGCTATCAGCTTTAAGGATTTCATTTCTCCAAAGGAAAGATGTATACACATTTGATGACATATTCTTTACTCCAACCTCAACAGTTTCTTTTGCATGCATGGACACAGTCTTCATGGGAAATCAAAGGTATTAAGTCACTTTCTGACCTTTTCAGCTGTTCTTTGAACTACCTTAGTAAAAACAATCACTGCCCTTATGTAGCTTCAAGTTACATTTGTCTGGAAATTTCTTTGCAATCAGTTTATTGCGATTTAACTCATTATCTTTGTTATGTAGTTGTTCGCCTTCTCAACTCATTTTTAACAGAACACTCTACCTTGGGACTTACAACACTTATATAAGCTTTTAAAATCCTTATGAACAATAATAAGTAATAGGGGAGGGAACCAGGTTTCTCAACCTTTGCAGTTTGAGTAATTCAATGTAGATTTACAGATGTATGAAATGGGCATTTCTACCAATTGCATTTGTAGTGCTGTATTGAGTTAACAAATGCCTTTCTTTTCCTTTTGTGGCAAAAGACAATAAATGCTGCTGGTATCTTTCTTTCTTATGATGGTTAAAAACAAAACTTTGATCTTGCTTATAAACACAGCTGTTGTCCCATCACTAAGCCAAAATCAGACAAGATTAGACTTTGGCCAAAATTAAGGTTACTCTTTGCAACCACCTCAAATTAAAGCTTTCTTAATACTGTTTTAGGAAGTCTCTATTGTTGAGACAGTGTATAAAATTAAAAGGCCCCAGACAACTAACCCCTAAGATAAGCCACAGGCAATTAGTGACAAGTTATACCACCATTTAAAGAAGGAGGTTATAAACAGCTAGTTCATTTAGCCTCATTTTTACTAAATTATCACTGTAAGAAAAGACTTTCTTAGTTGACAATAAGTTTAAATCAGACCAAATGTAAATTAACTATTTTTTAATAATATAGTTTATTTTTACATCATTTTATGATGCCTTTTTCCATCTCAGTTGTACTCCCTGTGGGCTCCCCATCACCAAACCACCCTGTGCCATCACCATAGTCAGTTCACTTCCCTCCCCCCCACTGTTTTTGATCCCATTCCCACTCCACCCCCATAAAATGTATCTGGTGTATAGCTGTTCATTATTATTATTATTTTCTTGCCTGGTCCTTTATACTCCTGCTCTGAGTAAAATCATCTGGTATTTTTCCTTCTCTTTCTGGCTTATCTCGCTAAGCATGATCTTTTCCAGCTCCATCCATGTTGCCGCAAAAGGCATGTGTTTCTTTTTTTTTGGTTGCTGAGTAATATTCCTTTGTGTATATGTACCACATCTTTTTAATCCATTCATCTACTTTTGGGCATTTGGGTTGTTTCCATGTCGTTCCAATTGTAAATAAAGCAGCAATAAACATGGGGGTAAAGGTGTATTTTTGAATCAGTGTTTTTGTGTCTTTTGGGTAGATACCTAGGAGTGGGATTGCTGGGTCATATGGAAGCTCCATATTACCAATTTGAGGAACCTCCAAACAGTTTTCCATAGTGGTTATACTAGGTTGCATTCCCACCAGCAGAGCAGGAGAGTTCGTTTTTCTACACATCCTCGCCAACATTTGTTGTTGCTAGTTGTTTGAAGATGTGCCATTCTCACTGGGGTGAGGTGGGATCTCATTGTGGTTTTAATTGTCATCTCCCTTATTACGATTGATGAACATTTTTTCATATGCTTGTTGGCCATCTGCATTTCCTCTTTGGAGAAGTGTCTTTTTAGCTCTTCTGCCTATTTTTTGATGGAGTTGTTTATTTTTGAGTTTCATCAGTTCTTTGTATATCTTTGTGATCAATCCTTTATTGCTAGTTTTGTATGAGAAATTTTTTTCCCAATTAGTGACTGTCTGTTTGTTTTTTGTAATGTCTCTTTTGCTGTACAGGAGCTCTTTAACTTAATGTAGTCCCATCTATTTATCTTTTCCTTCACTATCTTGGGTGCTGTATCATCAAAGATGTTACTGAAGTGTCTTGTAGTGTTTCACCCATCTTCTCTTCCAGGTATTTTATGGTTTCCATTCTTATGTCTAGGTCTTTAATCCACTTCTAGTTGATTTTTGTGTATGGTGTGAGGTAGTGATCTAGTTTCATTTTTTTGCATGTAGCTTCTCAGTTTTCCCATCACCATTTGTTGAACAAGTAAGTTAACTTTTTAAAGAACATTTTGCATTAATGTTTATTTGGTTAATTACTGATTCTCCCACTAATACTAATAAAAATAAAGTGCTTCTCACAGGTAGACATATTTTATTGTAATTATTATATAACTCATTTTGGTTTCCAGTCTACTGAAAATATTTTTTTTAAGTCTTAGACTCTGAAGTTTTAAATACTTTGCCAAATGTTCTGGATAGCTGATTCTCTGAGAGTCGGATACCAGTTCCTCAAGCTATGTTATGAGCGGCTAATAGTGTCTTTCTACCCAAATTTCCTGTACCAAGTGTAGCATCTCTGGAAATATCCCTTTGGTTGAAATCCATAAAGCTCCAGTAAGTTTTCCCTGGAACTTGTTTTTGAGCAATTACAGGACCTAGTCATATATAAGTGACATATATATCTCACCCCACCTTGGGGTGAGATAAGCTACAGAATCATTAAGTCACAGATACATTAAACCTCTGGCCATGGCAGTTACGGAATTCTGTTGGTGTTTTTAACCTATTTGTTCTCCCCATAATTCTACTTTGCTGCCACAGTTGCTAAAATGTGTTGACATATGTACATAATCTCTCCAAAACCATAGTCATTGCTTCACAACCTATTAGTGACAACAATAATAGGAAATTCTGCAAGCACTTTTCAATATTCATGTTATCAAAATCCTTTTTCCTTTGAAGCTGTTGTCTCTCAGGGTCCTAAGAAAATACTGACAGTCCCAAAATCAGTTCTAGCAGATGTTGAATCCAAGTGGCCAGTTAGCTGCCTCTTCTTCCCACAAACACCACTAACTGTAAAAGGAATAAGCCTGCAAATGAACCTTTACCGCTCATTCAAAGAGAGTGACTTTTGAAGATCTCATTCAGAAGTCTTGAGAGGATTAAAATTTCACAGATATATCAAGGTAAGCCTGTCTTCTTGATAACTGTTATGTGACCCAAGGTTCAGCTATGGAATTCAGATGAAAAGCAGAATCCTTTAACCATTTCTTTCTTTGTGATATGCAAGAGATAAGATGTTTAATAAGTAGACTAATAGCCTGGAGAATAAAAGGGAGCAAAATACTATCTTTGAATGAAAATGTGGAAATTTAAGATGGACTTTCCATTAGAAATCACCCATTTGCATTTAACATGCCTGTTTTAATTCTCAACAATTTTTGTTCAGCATATATGAACTATCCAACCACAATCATCTGGGGTTCCTCAAAAAAAAATTATTAAAAAGGTCTCATACAGAAATTATTGTAGGCCACTTTCCTAGGGTGAATGGCTCACACTTTCTGGATCAGCAATTTTTAAGGGGCAATACAGAAAGTTCTAATATGACCATTTTGTACTCTAGAAAAAGCTACAGGAAGAAATGTTGACGTTGAACTTCCAGAGTAGTGTTAAGAGATTTTATGTGGTTCAAAATAACATGTCAGCATTAGGAAATTCAGGTACTGAGTCACTGAAACAGCCAGAGGAAGTTAATTAGAGGCAGCTGATAATAGCTTCTTTCACTACTTTAAAAAATAATAAATGGAAAGGAGCATTCTACAGAGAAGTTTTAGTGAATTCATGTACTTTCATGCTATAAAAATGATAATAGTTTCACCCCTAAATCTCTGCCCAGCTAACTCTAATATAGTTCCTGCTTAAAAGCTAACTTCTCTGATTTTCTCAGAGGATTTAGAGGCAACTTTTATCTCTGGCACATTGCAGCTTGTGTGGATGTGTCTACCCTGAGCTATAACCTCCTGGAAGGTGGACTCTGTTCTCTGCTACTGGACATCTTGTTGGGCCCATGGCAGAGAGCTGCAACTCTTGATGATTTGTATACTGCAGTCACAAACTGAACCAAGTTCTTCAAATCCCAATGCAAAGTTCTTTCTGTGTTTCTGTGGTGCCTTTTTCTTTATCTAGTGGGTATCATCTCCAGTGGTTGTTTTTTTTGTTTGTTTGTTTGTTTTTGTTTTTTTGCCTCTTCTGTAGCACTTGACATTTTATTTCATGTTTTAAAGTCCTTTGGAAACAAATTCTCCCTCTCCAGAGGCAAATGGCTTAGCGGAACTCAATCATCATAGTCCTCACAGGATCTAGCCGACCATCTGGACCTTAGGATACAACGTAAACTTTTTGATTAACAAATGATTTAGGAATGAGATACGGGGTGGGCATTAGAAGGGATGACCTTAAACGGTCGCAATTGTTTACTCTTTATTTGTTAAGATAGGATCAATAGAACCACCGCTTTACTCCAGCCGCTATACCCGGGAAGGACGTCACAATTCGGAACTCGAACTACCAATCCCAGAATGCCGTGCGACGGGGACGTAGACTTCCGCCAGGAAGGGGCTAGGGGCGGGGACTTGGGGAGGCGTTTCAACACTATTACCGGGTTGGGCGGACCCCAAGGGGAGGGCTTGTGGGTGAGTCTGGGTTCCCCGCCCGCTGAGGACATGGATGAGGACGGGCTTCCTCTCATGGGGTCAGGCATAGACCTGACCAAGGTTTGTAAAAGACCGAACAGAACTTCCGGCGAGCTGGGAGGAGGATGGGGAAGGGATGCTGGGCTCCCAGGGCGACCCCCGTCTCCAAGTCCACCCTGACCCTGGCTGGGGCCTCCGTAGTGTCGGCTTTGGCAGGCAGAGGCCCACAATGGAGTTTTAAGGGGGCGCCTCCCAAGATGTTGAAGGGGTTAGTGTGCCTCTCCCAATCTCTGCTCCCCATGTCACGAGTCTGGGCTAGAGGGTGGCCCGCCGGCCAAGCGGCCAGTCACTTCTTCCGCCTGCAAGTTTTTTGTGTGCTTTTTGTGGTTGTTGCTTTTAGCTGCAAAATCCATACTTATAAATCCAGAGTCCACTCTCAAAAACTTTTCCGCAGCTTCTGTCGTTCTGGGACACCCCACCCTCACGGTGAGGAAAACAAGTTAATTACTATACACAGTATTTCAAGAAACTCATATTACACAGCAAAACACCCCTTTAATACTGACATCAAAGGATCTTCATGGTGTACGATCCTCCTGGTTCAAATCATCTTTGTTTTTACATAACACAGGTGCCAGCTATTCAACAGAAAAGAACGGTGGCATTTCTAAACCAATTTGTGGTGCACACTGTACAGTTCCTCAACCGCTTTTCTACAGTTTGTGAGGAGGTAGGTCCTATAATACTGGTTTAATGAGCAATTTAGAAATCCCCTTGCACTTCAGAAGGTGGCAGATGAGCACAACCTGAATCAAGGCCTTAGGTAAAATATGCAGATATCATAATCACATGTCACCCAATTGTTTTGTTAAATTTTAAATCTTCACTGATTCTGCTGCCCGCAATCCTAGTACTTCTAATGGTGTCTGTGAAATACTGTTGTCCAGTAAGGCTTATTGTGATTAACGAGAAAAAAAGGAACTCCAGAATTTCAGTTGAAAACATTTTACTTTGTAACTATGTTTCTCTTATCCCAAAGGTTTACATTGTTAAGTACACATTGTTTCACGTTATATTAAAATTATTATACTTGACTTGTGAAGGATTAAGTATCCAGTTATGGATGAGTTACTAGACCCAGGGATCCCTGCCTTTTTTTTTTTTTTTTAAGGCAGAAAAAGAGAATTAGGTGGAAACTGGGAAACATGGCTTGAAAATGAGTATAAGAAAGACTTCACCTTGTACCACTGCTGGGGTATACATACAATGGACAGACTAAAAGGCAATAAGCCGAGGAGTTAGTCCTTCACGTTTTATATTACAGTAGGAAAAGTACCTAGAGAGAAACTATTCCAGGCTTGTTAGCAGAGAGGAGCAACTGCCTGAGGAGTAGAGTGCTGTTTACTGCTTAACTGTTTACTGATGAGCAGATCAAGTATAATAATTGTTTTTCTCACCCACTTACTGCTGATGAATTCTCAGAACCTCTTGACTCCATCTTTTCCCCTCTTCTTTCCCTCTCAACTTTCCCCCTAATTGTTCTGACTGCATCACTACTAGGTCCCTATTGTTATTCTTGAAGAGAAAGGTGGGGGACCAGAAACCCGTGAAGTTGGAAGATTGTGTATTAAATTTTTCTCCTTAATAGGAATCTGTTTTGACCATAATTCACTGGTTGCAAATAGTATTTTATTGGATATTAATGTCAGTTGTAGCCTTTTCGCTTGGTCTCAGTGGTATATTAAGTGATTCACATACATTTAATTTTCACAGTCCAGGCTTTTGAAGACAGTCTAGCTATCTCTCTTTTACATACATACAATAACTGAAATGCAGAGAAGTTTAAATCATTGGCTTAGTAATTCATTTATCCAGTATATACTGAGTGTATAATATTTAAGCTGCAGTCACTGCTCTAACTTTTTCATACACAACTAAAAGTAACAGCTGGGATTCCAACTCTGATTTGTTAACTGAAAGTGGGAAAATGTCTCACTGCACTTTATGATCTGAAAACTATTTCTGTCATTTACAACTGAGACATTGCAGTGTCTTTTTTTTTTTTTTTTTTAAGATTTATTTGATGGTGCAGGATCTGTGAGAGGATTCACAAGAAACAGAGCCAGGGGCAGAACAGGCAGATGGACAAAGTACACTGCTGAGGGGAGCAGTGGGCAAAACAGGAGAGGTCTTCTGTGCCATATGGGTCACCTCACTGAGGGGATCGAACTCACTGAGGTGGCTATTGCCAGCTTCGCAGTGCTGTGCATTGACCCGTTGTGCCACTAGGGAGGGCCCTTTTTTTTTTTTTTTTAAGATTTATGAATTTATGCATGCAAGAACTGGGGTGTAAGCCAGAGGTGTGGGGGCAGGGAGTAAGAGGTGAGAGGACTCACCAGCAACAGAGTGGGGCACACAGAACAAGCAGATCTACTGAAATACACTGCTGAGGGGAGCAGCAGGCAAGACAGGAGAGGTCTTGGAGGCTTCCTTGTGGATCAGCTCCCTGGTTGCGATCCAGTTCATGCTGCAGTGGCTGATGATAGCTTGAGAGCGCTGTGACTTAACCCCTGGGCCACCAAGGAGGCCCAGCAATGACTTATTTATAGCTATTGCAAGATTTTTTTTAGATTAGGATTCTCTTTTTTGCTAAGCATGTGCATTTGATGTAATATTTTTGTTTTGATATGAAAAATTTCAGGGATCTAATTTACGTACATGGACATAAGATGTCATTTTCTCCCCATGAAGGTCAGTGTGGTTTCTGAAATGGGTTGTAATTTATTAATAACACCTCATACATCTGTAATCCTTATTTGGTTAAAGCTTTAAATGAGAACCAAAACGATGTTTTCCTAAAAAAAAAAAAAGAGCCTCTGCTGTTATTTCTTGACCTGGAAGTGAATTAGAGGGGAAAACAAATCTATTTTTTGGGGTTTTGTTTTATGTATGTTTGTTTTTCATAATCCTCGTTTTAACTGAATCCAAACTGTAATGACTTCAGTCCCAACTAAATCCGGAAATGCATTTGAAACAAATTGCTGACACTCTTCATCACTAATAGTGCCTTCAGAGTTCTCTAATAAAAAACTGCAAGTGTATTCTGTGAAGAATTTCACTTTTTAAAAACTGTTTTTTGGATAATAGGTTACTTTTTAACTCTTCTAGTAACTGGAACCAGGACTAGATAAAAGAAAGTAGATGAATTGGACCAAAATTATAAAGTACTAGGAGCACTTCTTCCTTTCCTTCACAAGTCCTTAGTAAGCATTTGTATTATGGCCTTGCTCAGCAAAATCTTAGATGATCCAGTGGGAATGCAAATTTAAAAGGAAGTGGGTAGAGGGACCACAGTGCAAGTTCTATGCATATAACAGATAAATTGAGTTGTAGTTTTATCTTATAGTGAAACTTAACACCAGGGGTATTCTGTAAACAGGGCTATCAGAAGTGTTGTTTTTACTTTGACTTGTAAGTAGCTAAATTTTAACTGGGTTAATTTTTTTTAACATTCTAAACTATTTCTTTTTTTATTCCTAAAATCTTGTGTTGTTGTTGTTGTTTTTTTTTTAAAGATTTATTTATTTATTCATATAGAACTGGGGTACAGGCCAGAGGTACAGGGGCAGTGAGAGGACTCACCAGAGACAGAGTAGGGAGAGAACAGGCAGATCGAAGAAGTACACTGCTGAGGGGAGCAGCGGGAAGGTCAGGAGAGGTCTGCTGCTCTATGTGGGTCACCTCCCTGGCAGGATCAAACTCCCACTGAAGCGGCTGTGGCTAGCTTTCAGTACTGCGTCCTACCACTTTGTGCCACTAAAATCTTTAAATATAGAAAAAATGCCGCTTATTTATGTTCTCCATTCAATTTTTAAGTCCACTATTGGACTTAAACTGCAACCAGGTAATGTGTTGCTTAAAACCCTATTTATTGCTGTAACTTTTACAATAGCGCTTGCAGTTTTTATGATTGCCAGGCTTAAATGTCAGGTGAAGTTTAATAAAACCATTGATTGTTTCCCTTTCTGGCTTCAAGGGAATACAAAACCCAATGTGATATAGCAGGAGCACCATTATTTTAAAATACAGTTACTCTTAGAGAATTGGATATACAAACTATTTCATGTACAACCTTGAAAAACCACAATATTTTATTTTTGTTTCCATGTTTTACCATTAACTCCACCTTTCTTCCTTTTGTCTTCACTTGCACTTTGATAAAACTCACTACGTTGGACATAGGTGAGTGATGAACCAATATATTTTCAGCTTATCTGACAAATTACAGATACCTTATCAATGTGCCTATTGTCCCAAACCAAATTTTTCAGGTTTGTTTTAAGTCCTTATAGAGGATGGTTAAGTGTATGTGAGAGACTACTACCTTTCCACTGCCTCTCTGCCAAAACTTTCAGCGGAAGGGACAGTTATTCATGTAACTTTATCCATAGTCATAATTTAGAACAGTAGTTCTCAAACCAGGGGACATTTGGCAATGTATAGAGAGATTTTTTTAGTTGACTCAAGTGGGGAGTACTAGTCCTATTTAGTGTGTAGAAGTCAGCGTCTGTTCTGCATTCTATATAGAATAGACTCAAAAACATTTATTGTTCTAAGTTATCATTGTAAAGCAGGTCTTAATTGTGCCATAGACTTTTTGGCATTCTAGTGAAACAAATGTGTTTTTAACTGCATAAAATGCATAGAATTAAAGGAAACTAACTAAATGCTTTAGGAAAACTGAAAATTTCGATACAAGAGTATGTCCTTTATCAAAACTTTGTTAGATGACACAGGTAACACATGTAGTATTTTAGGATAATAAAAACCAACTCCAGAAAAGACAATACTTCCATGGATACTAAAAGTTATTCACAATAAAAATCTTCCCTAGCCCAGAGGAAAACTGTTGATCAGATTTTGAAACAAACAAAAAAAATTATAATTACTCTGATCTTAGAATACATCAACTTGAGCAGAAAAACCTTTTTATCTGCCACTTACCTTAAATTGTACGTATTCTTTGTGAATTTAATAAATGAAAATCAGGTTTTTGAACCCATGACTTGGTTACCAGTAGAAGTAGCAAGTCTTTATTATTAAATTACAATTGTTTTAGATTTCATTATGCTTTGTATTAATTGAAATATCAAGGCTATTCAAATAAATTATCATAAGTTAAAATATATTGATGTTTATGTCAGTATCCTTCCTGTCTTGCATGAATAAATTACTCATGTAATCTTTAAAAGACATTTCATGTTAGTGAAGCTTTGATTGCAGTAGATGAGATGGTTAAAATTAGTGCCAGAGCAAAAGATTGACATATCAAACTAATCAGATCCAGAGAGAACGAATAACTGCTCTAGGAAGCATAACTTATTTCCTCTAAGCCTCTTTAATCTTCCCTCTCAACAAGTAGTTTTCCAAATAAACATTTTCATCTTTAATCCCTTATTTACTAAGATTTGTACTTTGGTACTTGGCCTATCCTGTATGAATCATTGAGGCCCCATTTAAGGACAATTTAGTCTTATGATCTAACCATGTAAACATTTTAATACCAATTTTTAAAATAATTCCAGATAAACAGCATCTATTTTAGGAAATTTGATCAGAAAAATTGGATTCCTAGTATTTTAGAATAGTATCTTAGTGAGAAATGGATTATCATTTAATCCCTTTGAATAGCAAAAATTTTATCTATGTAATACCTGAGAATTTTCGGTCACTTAAAAAAAAATTAACAAGCATAATTTTGTAGAACACTTTTACGTTCAGAGCAAAATTGGGCAGAAAGCTCAGAGTTTCCCTAACTCCCCACCTTTCCTGCTGTGGTATCTTTGTTACAATTGATATGCTGCATTGGCACACATCATCATAACCAAGAGTCCCTGGCATCATGTTTTAACAATGTAAAATTCTTTCAGAACAATATAGAATCACTTCAAAAATAGTATCTGGGGTTAGAGTTCTTTGAGTTCATATTATTTTATTCGTATGAAGACTCAGTTTTCTCATCTTTAAAAATAGTGTAATAATAGTTCCTACCTCATAGATTTGATGTGGTATTTCAGTTAATATGTTGCATATACAGTGTAGCATAGTAAAATAAATGCTCAGCTTTATGATAAAATGTACTTTTATATAAGTATATTAAAACAAGTTAATTTTTAATTTGCCTTTCTGTTTCTTTTTCCATGTTCACTTAATCAAACCAGTGTATCCCTTTTTTAAATTAAGTTAGGAATTATTCACTTAAAATTAATTTTCTGTAGGGTTTCTGCAATTTAGCTTCTTTGGTGAGTTGAAAGACTGATTATATTTAATAAAATTTAATTTCCATATTCAGAAAACTACTATAATTTGGAGAGGAATTCATCCCTGTTTTTATAAACCTATATTTACATTTACATAAAAGCTTTATGTGCACAAATCCTAAAAGTCAAGGTTAAGCTTAGCTTTGTGTGCCATTAAATACTTTATTTCAAAATCTTTGAAATATTAAGTTACGCTATTATGTTGCCCATCTTAAAAATAAGTGTCTTGTGAAGAAGTGCTAATTACTCTGCAGTGGCTCAGTTTTTTCCCTCCAAATCTGGGCAGAACAACAGTTTCTTGACTTGTGAAAAATTCTGCTTGTGAGTTATTCAGCATTGTGATAATATCCCAGCAAGCAGAGTACTGCAATTCTGCCGCTAGTAAACTGCTCTCAGATTCTGGCTCAGAGAGTAATATTGGTTAGAGTTAGAGAGTTTCAAACAAGTGTTCTCATAGACCGTACTTTATAATGTTACTTATCTCTGTGTGTATATATATATGGATAACTCAATTCTGTAGAATAACTAGAGCATAGCAAACTCTTGGTGGTTCTGGTTTATCTTGGATTTTGATAGGTTGGTTCCTTCTGCTTTTTAAATACTCTTAACTTTTTCCCTATGTTTTATTTCTTGTCAACATGAACTACTTTTCATCTAATTTCATCTCTTTTTACTTCTCATGCTTGAAAACTTTGAATTTGGACTAATTGTGTTCAAGTCATTTATAAAATGATCCTGTTCCAGGCAGTCTGGGATGACTTTTATTATTGTTTTCTACAAAGAATTACTTATTCATCAACAAACAATTAAGTTCCATTAAGTATTAAGTACTGTTCTGGGCACTGCAGATATGGCAACTCTGGGAAAAGTTTACATTTCTTGTTCCTATGATTGATTATGGCTCTAACAATAAATTTGATGAGGCTGGAAATGTAACTTATCTATAGATATAATTTGTCCAATTGATACATAAGACAATAGTGATACAAAAATAATCACAAAGCAGCCAAGTGAAGGCAATAACATACCTTAGTTCCTATTCTTAGTCCTTAAATAAGGGAATAATATATTAGAAAATTACAAATATTCAAACCACTTCTTATTTTCAAATCTGTCCTTTGTTATCCTTGTTAGCTGATTGTTTTAATCATCATTTGTTTTAATCTTTCTTTTCCAGAAACTAGCAGAACTTTCTCTTCGTATCCAACAAATTGAAACAACTCTCAATATTTTAGATGCAAAGGTTTGTATTTAGAATAATTTATAGTGCAGACTTTGTTTTACATTTATCAACTTTCTCAGCCATACTTAACTTTGTAGGAATAAAATCATTTTAGCTTTCCCACCCATGAAGGGGGTACAGTGCTTTTTTAAAAATTCATTACCATTACAGAGGACATAATGTTCATTATAACTGTTAAGTAAGTCTATTTAATGCCTATGAATTTAATTTGTTTCACTGTACTAGTCAGAAGCATAATGTGACATGTTAAAATATTGAACTACTATAGACTTTACTTCATTTGATGAAAATTTCATAATTATCTTGATAACATAGTAAAGAATTATGTAACACTTTAGATGTCTCCAGAGAAAAATTTGGAGAAAATGTTGACTATTTTTCATTTGCAAATATTTTAAATGCTAATGAAGAAATACCAGTTGTGATGTCAGAAATTACAAATGATAACTAGGAAAAATAGAAAGGTATTTTATTTGAAAGCTTGCAGATCTGTATATTTGCTACTTGTAAAATAATGGAAACACTTTTTTTTTACTATGTTTATATCAAAAATACTATGAGGAAGTAACATAAATGTCTAGCCTCAGAAAGTTTATACCTCTTCTTGTAGACCTGAGTCACTATAATTCTTGCAGAATATTTCTCAAACTTAGCAATTTTAGGGTCCTGGCTTTGAACATTTTCAGAATAACCCATAGAAGCCATACTCACTTGAAACTATTTGGGCCATAGCCACTGTGCTAAGTACTGTATTCACTCAACAGTTCTCAGTGAGTATCTCTGCCTCAGCTGTTATTATCATTGGTTTTTTTCATTATTTTTTGTTATGAGCATTTCTTATTTTAATGTCTAGGTAATCCAAGGTCACAAATTAAGTTACAATATGAACAAGTTTACTTTAAATTACTTCCATGGCCATAGAGTTAATCCCCAATGTTAGCCAAACATTCAACAAATATGTATCATTGATGTCAGAATGAAATCAGAAAGGAAGGTTTGCATGGTTCTTGCAAATCTATCCTGAAATTCTTAGCCACTAGCAATATGCCCATTTTTTTATGTATTAAAATAAAACATTTTAGTAACAGTGATATATATTAAAAAAAAAAAAAGGAATGGGCTAGATATACGAAGTTGTAAAGAAGCTTTGTTATTTCTCAGATAATTCAAAATATGCTATAAAGCATATTTTTTTTACAAAGAATTTTTAATATCCTGCTTTACAGGTAAGAAAACTAAAAGGCTTGGGGAGATTTATATAAATTCACATAGTTCATAACTTTAACCTGCAGAACTGACTCTGAAGCTTATCCTTTACATTAGGATCCTTATCTTTTAAAAATTTCTGGGCAAAGAATGGGTGTAGGCTAACTTAATAAGTTCTTCAAAAAATACTTTATTTATACATGCCTGTCACTTTGAATAGTTTATGGCATGGAGAATTCCAAATTATAAAGGTGAAATGTTATAAACCTATTTCTACAGACTTTATTAAAGCTATTTAAAATACACCTGGAAACTTGTCATGTTTAAGCAACTAATACTATCTTCATATGCCAAAATTAACACTTTCTTTTCTTAGTTGTCATCTATTCCAGGCCTTGATGATGTCACATTTGAAGTATCTCCTATAAGTGCCCCCAGTATGGCAAATGATTCACATTCTGAAACCTCATTAGAGCAATCACAGGTAAGTATTTAAGTTCCAAGAAATGAGTAAATCTTGTTTGGACAAATAGATTAAGCAGCAGATTTGAAGAAAAAAGTTAAATAAAAATGTAAAACTTTGAATAATAATATTTTAAAAACTTAACATAGAAAATGAGGTTTGAAAAAAAATGTTGCTTGTTTGATATTTTTTGAGAAACTTTTTGAAGTTAATATTTTCTTTGTTATAAAAAGGGAAATTGTCCTACATGGCAGTAAGAAAAATCTTTGAGCATAATTATTTTCTTCAAGTGACTATGGAAATTTTTATAAACTCTTACGAGAAATTTACTTTTTAAAGTTTTACTATGAAAACCTCAAACTACACCAAAATAAAATAGTACACTAAATATTCCAATGCCTGAATTTACTAGTTAAGATTCTGTTGCAATTTCATTAACTATCTTTTTGTCACATACCGAAGTGAATGACGGAGCCTCATTTCATTTCACCCCTGTTATTCCTTGAGCTTTCTGAAAAAAGATTCACATTTTCTTGTACAGCCACAATGCCTGTATCACATACAGTAAATTAATACTGATTCCCTCAATCTTCTAACCTCATGTTACTCAAAATAGGCTCCAGGAGCCAGCAACATGGGCATCACCTGTGGCTTGTTAGAAATGAAGACTCAGGCTCTGCTCCAGAGCTATTGAGTCAGAATGTGCAATTTACCAAGATCCAAAGGTGATTTCTAGGCTCTTAAAATTTGAAAGATACTAATCTAAGAATTCTAGTTGCCTAAAAAATATGTTTTGGGAGTTGATTTGTTCAAGTCAGCATCCTAATAAAGGCTACACTTTCCATTTGGCTTTATTTGGTTCTTATGTCTTAATATTCACTTATACTCTTTATAAATTAAATTTAAATTTTCTATTTTATTTTTAAAAGTCTTCCTTATTTGAGAAAAGTCTCTTTTGTTCCTCAATAAGTTAAAATTCAGAATAAAATAATTATTAAAATGGTTGTCTACCAGACAATACTGAACAAGTAGACTCCCTGTCTGTATGGAACCTGCATTTCTACCTGGAGGACTTTACACAGGATATTTTTTAGATCCTGACCATGGTGGTGATGATGATGGTGATGGTGCTGATGATATGTCTAAAACCTACAGGGTTCCTATTTTGTGCAAGGCATTTAAGTGCTTTTCATAAGTTGACTCATTTAATCCTCATATGGGCCTATGAAATAAATACTACATTATCAACTCCACTTTACATTTTATCAGATGAGGTACATACAAGTTTTAATATCTTGTGGAAAGTAAGACAACATTCTGAGAGCTGGAATTTTAACACAGGTCATCTGAAGCCAAGAATCGTGGCTGTTACTACTCTCCACTGTCTTATGCACCTGTGTCAAATTTATTAAGCATATTGAACTGGTATGGGGCAATGCATTATGGGAGGAGCTGTATATTTAAATAGCATGTGTTTGGAGATTGAATTAGATGACCATTGACTAAACAACAAGATATTAGAAAACAATTTTCACTAATATAGCAAGTTCCATTCTGATGATGACTGGGATGAATATACAGAAAAACATCCAAATGTAATAGAAGAGTTGAACTTTATAAATTTCAGTTCAATACGGACCACCCCTTTTCTGAAGCAATTATGTGTAAGAAATATTAAAGTGTTCCACTCTACTAGTTATGAATCAATGTATACTAGCTGCAGTATTTCTTTGGACTTTTAAAGTACTACCAGTCTAGCTGAATATTGATTTTATTTTGTTAAATGTGTATAGTTGTGTTACTTCTGCCTATTTAGAGTTTCAAGAAGTTAATTAAGAATAATCATAGCTAAATTTTCTAAAATTCAGAATGACCTGCTATATATGTCACTATCTTTTGTTTAAAATTGTACATTAATTCATTTGGAGAATTTTTGAAATTTCATCTTTCTGAATTAAAAAAATTGTGGGTAAAGTGTGATAATTAGTTAAAAATTAATGTTCTTAATATTCAAATTATCTTATTTCTTCTCTATTGTTGCTGTTATATTTTGTGTAAATGTTTTGAAATGGACTTAAGTGTTGCTCAACACAGAATTTGCATTGACTTACAATCAACTTATCAGATAAAGGATAATCATATCCTTTTTAAAAATCATCTGTTCATTGTAGTCTCTAATATATAGATGAGTCAAAGACCCAGGTTTGCATATTGACTTTTCTGCAATTTTTATTTTGTGGCTTAGATCTTATCATTACTCACAGTAGAACAATAGTGAGTAATCTGCAGATTAAGATTAATTTGAGAATACAATGAAAGCCATTTGAGAAATATGATAGAGAATTCAAATAGCAAAAATGTGTAAGACCTAACATAATTAAACCTTGTTGAGGTCTTCATCACTATGCAAAAATTAATGGCTGTCTTTGAGTTACATTGGACCTGTATGTAATTATCATTTGCTTGATTGTGTTATTGTATGAGTTTACTATACATATATTTTTTTAATATATGCTTGGGTCTTTCTTGAATTTTTTTATTTAAGTATTTTGGACTTTTTGTATTTTACAGATGAATATATGTATGTTTACTCCCTTTTGTAGCTTAAGAGTGTCTTATATAATCCTAGGAAACCAAAAGGATTTTTGGATGCTTTATTTGCTTCAGAGTTTTAAAAGGTTTAATTTACGTTTGAATTATCTGAGGAAAACCCTTAACATATAATTCACATTTATATTTTTTAAAATATGAATATTTAAAGATTTTTCTTGATTTTATCTATAGTACAGCATAGAATATAGACATCCAACTGATGTCATTCTGTTAAGGAAATTCCTCTTAAATGCTAGTATACAGATAATGAATGAGAATTCACACACAAAAAAAGCCCTCCAAAAGATCAGGTTCATAGAAAAATCAAGAACTGTATACAGACAGTCTTAGCTTTGCACTTTAGAATAAGAATTCCCAAACAGACAAGTTTTAGTTAACATGTGACTACCATGCAGAATGAGAACTCCATGTGGAATCAGAACTATATATATGATAAAGCCTTTTTTTTCTAGGTATTCTTTTTTATATGTAATATTTAACATTTAATCTTACTCTACAGAAAATGTTACCAATAATGGTACAAACAGTAATGAAATATATAAAAGCACATAATTTTCTGTGAGAAATAGGCTTCTCTTCCAGTTTCTTCGGACATTGCTTTCTAAGATGTTAGAATAATAATATCCACTTAAAATAAGACTATTTGATAAGAAAGTCACAGTTGTATAGATGGTGTAAACCTAGAAAATTAATTCACAATTAATTGGAATTGAGCAATTGACAAACTAAGTAATTTTATAAGTACTGTTAAAAGTTCTAATATAACATGTCTACCTATAATTCATATTTTATATTAATACTCTGGAGATAAGTAAAGCAAAATCGTAATATTTTTAATGCTATGAATAGATTGCATTTTTAAAGGAACAATATATAGTGATACTGTTAAGTGTAGCCTTTAAGTATTTGTAAATATATATCCCATAATTAAATTATTGGTATTTAAATTTAGAATATTCTTTTTTCTGTATTTACTGCTTTAGAATTATAAAAAGAAACATCCCTTTTAAGTAACATGATAGACCCCTTTTGTGAATTGTCTAAAGATTTACACATAATACTCTCTACAGCAGAACAGTTTACAAGACCATGGACTACAGGAAAGTGAAGTAACAGCAGAAAATATCTTAACTGTAGCCAAGGATCCAAGATATGCCAGATATCTCAAAATGGTTCAAGTGGTAAGCTAATTTGGTCTGTCTTCTCTGTCTAGCAGCCATTTGAAATTCTTAACCCTGGAGATTTCTTTGTTATTTTTTCAATCTGCGAAAACTGCTAGAGTGACCAAGTTTTCTACTTTTCATTCCCATGTTTAATTAATACCCTGATTTAAAAAAAAAAAAAACAGAAGTCAAATATTTCTAATTAAAATTTATCTCTCAGACTTCACACTAACATGCCTTTAATGTAGATTTACACAAAAGTTTTTTGCTTTACACAGTCATCATTGCAAATATCAAAAATGAAATATGCTAAATCATATGGCTTTAGTTTAATTCTCATATGCTAGCACAAATAGTGATTTTTTTTTGGTGTATTTTAATTTTGAATTTCATCTGTCAATAATTAGGTTCATAGAAAATAGCATAAGTTTCTTAGCCATGTAAGGCAATGCTTTTAGAACTGTATGACTTCAGAATTCATATTTTTTCTAAGAAATAATTGCATGCTATAATACCAGAAGTATTTTCAGTTGCCTATAACATCAGAAGTTGATTTCTTTTCATTCCAATAGGAAGTCCTGTTGCAGTGATTGAAGAAACTAGCTGCCTATCATTTCATCCAAAAATTAATGTTCTTGTGCAGTTTTATCAGGCAGAAAATGTACTAATATTAAAGAAGAACCATTAAGGTTTGCTGCCCCTAGCATTATTTAATCACGGAAATAATTTTAAAACCAGGACTGCCTGGCAATCAGAAAGAGTGGATTGGCTCAGTTAGAAACTACTGTGGTAACAATGAAGACAAAGAAAGTACTTTTTTTAGCTGTCAGAGAAGTGTATTTGTCACTTTCAAAATTAAAATTCTTCATTTACAGTCAAAGCCCTGGGCTCTAGGTTTTAGGCAAAATTAAACCAGACTTTGAGATGAAAATATATAAAGTATTTTAATTAGTAAAAATAAATTAAAGCTAGTTTGAATATGAATTATAATCAATATGTTTTTAAAACTAGAACCCAGGAAAATTTAAACTAAGCTTAATATATATAGACTATCAAATGTGTATGTTTCAAACAAAAGTTTCAGAATGACTTTAGAAGGTTTGTTTATGTTAATTTTTTTCTGCCTGACTTACATAATATTAGAAAGTAGGAAAATTAACTTGGTAATACCTCTAAGGATGCCCTGAAATATTAGAAAAAAGACATCTTAGGATAACTTATTACATTCTTGATACATTATCTCTAATTTTCTAACTCAGCGCAAGTGTCTTCCCTGGTGGCACAAGGGGGTAAGTGTCACACAATGATGGGGCAGGCAGTCACTGCAGCATGAGTTCAGTCCCCAGCAAGGGAGCTGCACCACGTGGTGCAGCAGGTCTCTCCTGTCTCACCCACTGCTCCCACACCTCTGGCCTTTGCTACCCAGTTCTTCTATACAGAAATAAATAAATAAAAATAAAACCTCCATTTGGCCAGGTGACCAAAAATTATGCTACATCTGATAATACAAACTATTTCCTTTTAGCCTCACTTAGGATTCCTTTACCAAACTCAAGAATATCCATATATATATATATATATGGTTATGTAGATTTCTAGGTGGTTTCTGTTGTAAAACATCCCTTTCAGATCAGTTTCCATTCATGGTTCCATCCCAACAGTGTTAGTAATCTTCAAGTTTTACTGTTTTGAAATTTCAGGGTGGTTCTGTGCAGATATACTTACAAGTGTATGGATACATTCACATGTGCACACACTGTTTTTTGATGATTGGATTTAATCTCCATTGGTTTATATTTCTCTTCTTAATAATTACCTTCCAGTTCTTCCATTGTCCTTTTTTTGCCAGCATGTCATTCTTACTCATAGGCTTGTAGTTTTTTTTGTTTGTTTAAAGATTTATTTATTTTTGTATACATAACTGGGGTATAGGCCAGAGGTGCAGGGGCTACAAGAATTCACCAGAGACAGAGTGGAGCAGAACAGGCAAATAGATGAAGTACACTGCTAAAGGGAGCAGCAAGCAAGACAGGAGAGGTCTGCTGTGCCATGTGGGTCACCTCCGGGGCCAGGGATTGAACTGGCACTGAAGCAGCAGCAGCCAACTTGCAATACTGCATCCTAACCAATTGTGCCACCAAGGAGGGCCAGGCCCTCCTTTTTTTAAAAAAAAATTATTTTTTTTTTAAACCCTTTGATCAGGCATATGGACCTGTGCGTGTGTGCATGGTATGGAACTGGGGTATACACCAGAAGTGTAGGGAGAGGTGGTGAGAGGATTGACCAGAGAAGAGTGGGGAGCGGAGCAAGCAGATCTACTGAAATACACTGCTGAGGGACGCAGTGTGTGAAACAGGAAAGGTCTGCTGCGCCATGTGAATCAGCTTGTTGGCTGGGGATTGAATATAGGCCATAGAGGTAATAGCTCTAGACTTCACCCCTAGGCCACCAGGGACACACCCCAAGTGAACCTTTCTAAGAATAACTTTTTGGTGCTGATGGCCCACTTGGAATTTTGCCATATGTACAATTATTCTAGTGTCATCATAGTTATCACTTAAAAAACTTCTTTGGGGTCCTCCCTGGTGGCGCAGCAGGTTAGGACACAGCACTGTAAGCCAGCTCAGCTGCTTCAGTGCGAGTTCAATCCCCGGCCCCGGAGGTGACCACATGGTGCCACAGACCTCTCCTGACCCGCCCACTGCTCCCCTCAGCAGTGTACTTCCCCAGTCTGCCTGTTCTGCTCCCCACTCTGTCTCTTGTGAAGCACCACCCCTGCTCCTCTGGCTTGTGCCCCAGTTCTGTCTGAATAAGATAAAGAAATCTCCTTAGTGGTGCAACAGTTTAAAACACAGCACTGTGATGCTAGCCGTAGCCTCTTCAGCTTGAGTTCCATCCCTGGCCAGAGAGCTGAGCCACATGGCAAGCAGACCTCTGCTCCTTTCGCAGTGTACTTCATCCATCTGCCTGTTCTGCTCCCACTCTGTCTCTGGTGAATTCTGAAACCACCCCTGCACCTCTGGCCTGTACCCCAGTTCTATATGCATAAATAAACCTTAAAAAAAGACCAAACCTATAGTCTTAAAAAAACCTGTTCTTCATCAACATCTGTATAGTTAATTGTGTTTCCCATACATATCTTTATAAAACTAGAACTTTAAATAGAAGAATAGATGACATACCACATGCTTTAGAAAATGCCTGGGGGTAGTTGAGGTGGTGGGGGGAGAGGGGCCTTCCTGGTGGCACAAGGGGTTAAGACATAGCACTATGAAGCTATCCACAGCCTCTGCAGCACAAGTTCTATCCCTGGCCAGGGAGCTGACCCACATGGTGCAGTAGCTCTCTCCTGTCTCTCCCACTACGCTCCCCTCAACACTGTATTAAGGTGGATCTGGCTGTTATGCTCCCCACTCTCTCTAGTGAATCCAGAAACCCATCCCTCACTCCCCACACCTCTGGCCTGAATCCCAGCTCTTGTATGCATAAATAAATAAATATATCTTTTAAAAAAAAAAGCCTCACAGAAGTGAGAAGTCATTAGAGAAATCCTTCAATTTCCATCTTTTCTATGGGAAGAATCTAGATAGTTTGGTATGTCTTTACACCAGGATGGTGAAATGCCTTCCTATTTTCTGTTAGTCTTCATTCTGCTAAGGTAGTTCAGTTTCTTGAGTAACTAAGAATAGTTTTCAAAGGCATAAAGATAGAAAAACAAAATTGACTACTTCCTGTGAAGAATCTCATCCCAGCTAAATAGAGGGTAGCTTCTGAGGAATTACTTCATCAGTACTGGAAAGTATTTCCTTTTCCCAAAATTGTAGATTTTCACTAAAATATCCATTTTTCTCAACTTCAGAGGATGACTAAGGTGTCTCATGTTTACCCACTATTCAAAATTTCATTTTATTTATTAATGTAGAGAACGACCAGCAATATTCATCAAATGAGCCCTTTGTTAGTACTTTAAGTAATTTGTCATCCATTGTACACATTGTTGCATGTTATTAAAGCTGTTTTAGAATCCTATATTCCATAATTAGGGAAGTGTATTAACAAAAAGAAGACTGTATGATCTCAAAAATTGCTTTTTCTAAAAGATGACTAAACTTACAACAGTATAAAATCCTTCTTAAGATCTCCAAATAACCATTTCTGTACCCTTAAAAGGGAATTAACAGTACCAGAAGTTCTCTCACCTCCTAAAGATAAGATTTTTCTTTCAATTGCCTTTAGATTTTTTTTTTATTTAATAATATGAGTGACTGTTCCATATGCTGTGACTCCTGCCTACAGTATAATCACACTTATGTGGAGTGTCTTGTCTTTTCCAAAGCATATTATTGTATGTAGCTTCCTAATACTTACTGGATCTTCAACCCTCTCATAATCTCACAATCTTTTCTCCCTAAGTATTGTTTAGAACCGTTTTATTTTCTCAGTAAAATTGAGAGTACACAAGTGTTTCTCAAACCCTTACAGCTTCTTCAGTAGTATAAAAGCCTTTAATTTGGTTACTACTCATGTAGTGGGTCCAGCAGATTATATATGCAGATTTTTTATCTTCCTGAATATCTAGATAAACTATAATTTTTATTTTCCCCAATAGCCTTCATGAAAATTTCTTCTTCTGAGTCCTGTCTCCTAGTGCATACTGCTTTTGTATTTGCCCTTCCTCGCTTATCACATACCTTGAAATCTATCCTAAAGTCAGGGTAATTAGAACTGCTTCAATAATATAAAATCCTTTGAACTGAAGCAGACAAAATCTTTCAAGTGTCACAAGTACCACTTTGAAGAGAAATAAGCTTGTTAGTTTCTATATTATTTTCTGTCATTCCTGGATACGACCCTCTGTAAAATAGAAGAATGATTATAGTTCTAGAAAATTAGTTGATCCTCTGTGTGACAGTTGAGTGCCTAGCCGGAGTACACCCAGATCTTTACTCTGTACTTCTGGGATGCAACACAGTACAGTTGCTTAGCTTTGTCATACATTCTTGTGACCTTGTTCAGGT